GATACGTGTGTACGACTCGCCTTCCCCTCCTCGGACCCGCCTGTGCCTGTGCCTATGTATGTATTTTTCTCGACGTCGATGGAGACGGAGATGATGTGCATCCTATAGGAATTTTTCTGTTGTTGTAATGCATTTGTTGTTTCTCTTTGTCTTTTTCAAGTGGTCTTGTGGCTTGTGTATTGGGTTCGTTGGGATTTGTACAGTATATGGATCGAGGTTGAACAGGAGGTGTGTACACTGTTGTGGCTTGGTCACTAACGTTCTTTTTGTCCTGACTCTAGGTGTCCGAAGTGGAAGACAAAGAAGCAAGATATGTGAAGCTAACCACCTCCAAGATCGTACACAACAAATAAAAACATGCTAATCTCCAATGGTTCAATGCGCAAACAAAGAAAAGAACGTCCATTATGCAATCTAACGTACACTCCCCCTCCTACTCTCCTAACCTTTTCCTCCCGAGTCCCCCCTCACGTTCAAAATCACTCAGCATAAACATCCCCACCACTCTCCTTAATCGTCTCAATCACCTTCCTCACCCTCTCATACACCGCGAACACGATAGCCTGTCCAGGGGCAACACGTAACACTCTAGGCGTGATACCTTTGTAGAACGACCTGAACCCTTCTTGGCGCCACATTTCTCGAGCGATGGCGGCGATGCGTTGGAAGGCGGATGTTCCGGGTTCTGCGGTTGCTTTTTGTAGACCTGGTGATGGAGGATTTAGGTGAGTAAAGGAGAGGCGAAAGGGGAAGGGGAAGGAGAAGGGGGAGAGTAGGAGGAGGAGGAGGAAGGGAAGGATATGAAACGGTACGCACGAGTCTTAATGGTATCAATCGGGGCGTTCGAGAACGGACCCATCGCGCCGGATATCAGACCGATGAGCATATGTTGGTACGACGGTAGGTCGGGGAGGTCAGGCTGTAACCGATGTGCCACCTTTTTCAGTTCTTGGTACGCCGTAAAGTTCGCGCCTATTCAGGTTTTCGACAGACAGCGTCAACAGTGATCGAGCGTTCAGTCAGCGTCCCATCCAACCCGCGTCTCGCCTTCGCCTTCAAACAAGGAAAGACGAGAACGAAGACGAAAGAGGAAGAAGAAGGAGACGCACCTTGATTCGTCGCCTGCCTAAGAGCAGTAAGCGTCACACCACGATACAACGCCCCGACGCCTTCCTCTCTAATGATCGTATACACCGCATGTCCAGCGTTCCGATACCGAGGCTGTTCCAATGGGTCTGCGAGAGAGTGCATCTGCGCTTGAAGTCGGATCTTGACGACTTCCATCGGGGTTACTACTAGGACGGCTTCTGTCGTTCCTGCTCCTAGTCCGGCTGTGTTTCGTGCGTGGTTTCGATGCCAATTCCGAGAGTCCGAGCAAATAAGGTTTGGAAAAAGGTGAGTGGGAAGAAGTTATTGTTAGCGTACGGTCCGAGTGCGTAATTCGAACGGAATGGCCAAAAGCCCTCTATGGCGGAGGGGCAGAGACAGGAAGAGGGGGAAACAAGGAAAGGGGAAGACATACCCAGGAAGATATTCCCAACACTCGTCACGCCCGTCTGGGGATCCGCCAACCACCCCTTGTACGCCTCAAAACTAGCAAAACGGACCGCCATCTTGGGTACAATCCCCGACAGGACCGCACCGAGACCTTTGTATAGCGCGAGGGGCGTTTCGCGACGGACGATCATGGCTCCTGTTGCGATGAACCCTCTGGGTTTCGTCTGCGAAAATGCAGAGGTCTAAGGGAGGGAGGTACGAGTGCGGGGGAGGTGGTGGACTTACCCCTGGTGCTGTACCCGACTTTGAGAGCTGCATTCGTACTTTGATCGTGTCGAGGGGTTGACAACATAGCTGTGGGGCCGTTCAGTATGCGCGAAGCGAGACGTCGCTTTCTCTCAATGAAGGTACTTACTGCTTCCATCGCACCTGCCGTACCTCCAGCTATCAATTGGGTGGCGAAGCCCACTGGCTTCTTCTCGTTCGCGTTACGAGACATCTCGGCAGTTCAGAGTGAGTTACGAGATCAAGGGGGATGGTATATACGAGTCCTGCGATGCAGAATGGAGTCGGCTTTTAGGGATATAAGCACTTTGAATCCAGGGGGGGATAAGAGCGTCAACAAGTCAACCAATTTTGCCTCAACCGCCGTCCGGTGAAACGTCTGGAGGCAATGCCAACCGCGTCGGAGAATTCAAGTCAAGGGGCGAAAGAGGAAGAAGAGAGTGGACCATGCGATTAGAGCTGGGTGCGGACTGATATAAGAAGTGTTTTTAGTGCCAGTGTGCCCTATTAGCCGGCGGTCTTGTGTTATATTCCTTTCTAGAGAGAGTCGAGAGCGAGCGACCCGGAACATGTGAATTAGGGGCCAACTAGGAGAACCTTGTTCATCCGCTCTCCGTCCGCTGACCCCGCACTTTTCCTTGGCCGTTCCCTCCGTCCACTCCCGCTCTTACCCCGATCCAGCTTTACGTTGGCGGGGGATGGGCACGCACTTGATTCCGAAAGCTTGCCATATAATAACAACCTCGAGAAACTCCCTGCGATTCTCGCTCACCCGGAACGAACCTTGCGAACCTGCACGCCTGTGATTTCTCTTGGCCTGCGTAGATATCTTGTGACCTACATTCTACGTCAGTGGGTGGCCAAGCACACAACGTGAAGACCTACAAGTATTCTTTGCACCATTTCCCTTCATTTCCACCTCTTTTCCTTGTGGCACTGGAGTGTGGGGTTCCCCGCATTCCATTTGGCGTTGCGGCAATCCGAGCCTCCGGCTTACCCGGATTGGTCCGTTAGCGCGCGTTCTGCGTCGTCTACGATTTGACGTCCATGTTGTGTTTTATCGAGAACTTGTGACTCTGGTCATATTTCCGAGGTGCGATCTCAGATAGATGGAGCACTTATGCTGTCGTGAGGTAAACGGATAGAGTCAGACGTTGAGAAACAGAATGCTTGGGCGCGCGTGTCGAAATCGGTGAAGCAACGGAACCATCTCGAGATGCGCTTCACACAGCTGTGTATCGTTCAAGTTCCTTGAAGAGGCTAGTGCGTACTCTCTACTTATGACAAGTCGACTTACTGTACCATTTTGAACGGTTCGACAGTCACGCGTCACGCACCCCCCCTGTCGAATGTGCAATTTCGTACATGTCACGCGTCACTGTGGGATGCTGTCGAAAGTGCAATGGGCGCTTGTTGGATAAGGCTTCCTAATATGGCAAGTTTTGGTCGAACTTTGGCCAAATGTCATTCATTGTCACGGTCACGTTACGGCTCTGTCGAAAACAAGATTTCGACAGAGGGTGTCACGCGTCACAAGGCCTGTCGAAACGTTCAAAATGGTACAGTACCTTAGCTTACCTCCTTGATGTCCTTTCAGACCATTCCCCTCTCCCAACTCCCGGTATTTGAGTAAACCACGTCACCTGCCAAATGCAGACCACCAAACGTTGAAGCGCTCATTTAATCCTTCGCGTCGCTCGCGATCGAGAGGCAAGTTCAAGTTTTAAGGTTGCTTCAAGGCAATAGTGAGCTCAAAGAGTACGGACTCGACAGAAGGTATATACCCTCTATTAAACTTCTTCTTGAGTTTTGAAAGAGGTCTCCCTCCTTCAGCCTACGGTGATTTTTAGTACAACCTCAATCGATGATGTCATCGACCTTTCAGTACACGAAGATTCGACAGAGTTCATGCGGAGACAGCCACCAATAATCGTCTAGACTCTATATCACAACCATCCCTCGAGCCTCGACACAACTCTCAATTACAAACACAACATCGCAGAGCTTCCTCTCGATACTTGCCACTCACAACCACACCTCTCTATACCTTCATTTCCTAGACGTCGACTCCTATAATTCATAGCTACTAGACTCGCAAATGACACTTCGATCACTCCGATACGTCGTCAGCGGAGGCGTTCAAGGCGTCGGTTTCCGCAAATTCCTACAAAGACAAGCAAACCTATACGGAATCGTAGGTTGGGTGATGAATGATCCTGTAAGTACCCTTCATCCTTCTGCTACTTACTACTACTATCGCGGTCTGGAGTACGTTGGGCTAATGCATAATGCTTGGGTTGCGCTGCTGCGCGACTTGGGTGACGTAGTCTGGAGATGTTGTGGGCGAAGCGCAGGGTGAAGATCGAGTGATTAATAGATTGTGAGTTCTTATATCTTCTCCAGCCGGTGTTACACTTCGAAGCTAGTTGGCTAACAAGATATTCATCGTCCATAGTAAAGAGGATCTTGCAAGAGGTCCACCAGCAGCGACAGTCAAAGACTTGAAGATATCCGAGGAGAGGGAGATACCAAAGCTAGAATTCTCAGAGTTTGAGATTCGGAGACCGTATCGTACGGGACATCACGCAAACACCAAAGTTGTGTCATAGTATACAGCGGGTATACAGAAGATTTTTTAGGAACCTAGATGGTGATACAGATTTCGGTAGTGAAGGAAAGTAAAGGTAGAACCAGAAGAAGTGCACTAAATATAGAAGCTACGTTCATAGGAGACCGTATCGCAAGGTCACTTAGACTGTGTCTTCTTCGACTGGCAATAAAGCGCGGTCCATCCGCGGTCGACGATCCCCATGTTAATGACATCCTTCCACCCCCCGCCTGACCAAATGGTGTCTCTCGACCTTCCTTTCCTTGACGAAGGATCTCTGACCTTGCCATCTGCTACTCACAGTACCCATGGGCCATGGGTAATTAACTCGCTGATGTCGGCATGGGCAGAATCATGCGGCATGCTCACCCCGTCGCAAATCGGACTGCAGTACTGGTCTTGTACCCTGTCGAAGTATTGAGATCACATTGGTAAGTAGATAATCAACGTCAGGAACATCCACCAGTATTCCCCGAGACCCACGCAAGACGCAAGGAAGGGTTTCAGGTGGGTAGGATATCGACCTCAGCCCGACAGTACTGTTGACGTTGAACACTTGTTGAACACTGTGAAAAAAAGGAAAAATAAGACGCACCGAAGTAAAAAGAAATGACGAGAGTGGGATTCGAACCCACGCCCTTTCGGACCAGATTAAAGCATGCACTGCGATGATAGGGAACCTTAGTCTGGCGCCTTAGACCGCTCGGCCATCTCGCCATGTATGCTCAAATCTTCTAATTGGTCTGTGGCCAGAGTTAGGTTAGCTTCTCTGGCACTGGAAAGCCGAAGCTTGAAGCTTTTGAAGTCCTTCGAGTCGGTGGAACTGCTAACTGAAAGTGAGCTTATACAAGCACGGGCAACGCAAGTCCTCTGTCTTCTCCGACAAGTACGGTCCTCCATTTCCGCTCGAAAATCTCTCTAGATTTAATACCTTCCGTCTGACTCGGACCGACTCAAGTCTGAGGCGGCTTCGACCTTCCCTCCTCTTGAGTAACGAATACACTGGATAAAGGATCAGAAGGTAAGCAATCGTACCGGGTTTAGTTACTTACTAGTTACCCATCCTTTCTTCATTCAACAACCTTGAAGGGTCATCATCCCTAGGAAACCATCCAAATGACTCTCAGGGTGTCAAACCTCCCGCAAACCTATTGGGACCGACCTAACCAAGTGACTCAGTGAGTATACCATATGCTACGTAGGGTAGAAGAACATTGAGGGGAATTAAAATGATCATTATAAGCGAACGGTTGATGAGCAGGATATACACTCACCGGAGCGCATCCGAGTCGCCGTGTTTTCCATGTCAGATGTCAGTGAGAGGCTCGCGCCGATTGTACGTACCTGGAGGGACCTAGCCGTGAATATGTTGAGTACCTTGAAAGGCTGCCGCAGGGAACCTACACCTCGCCTTGGACGTAGTCGTACTAGCGGCCCGGGGAATGTAGAAGCCTGGTATACTCTATAGTCAGTACCAGGATCGAGTACTTAGCATTCCCTCAACGTTCTGGTATGCCTGCGGAACCATAACCATGGATCAGCCGTTGTGTTTCAAGTCGTACCGAGTGAGATACTGGTACACTGGTGATTGGAGTGAGTGCTAGTGGGTGTACGCGGTGAGTACTTTAGAGCAATCGAAATCAACTTATGGTCTCGACCCGTGTCAAACATCATGTCATGTCATACCCACGCGACCTTCCTCTCCCGTCGCGCGCGAAGTCTCGATGAACTTAGTTGCTCAGATCTATTGTCAGAAGGCGCACATGTATCCCAATTCCTTACCGCAAACGTTCAAAAGACATTGGTTGGCTCATGGCTCACTTCGGATGAACGCTAAACGGACAACAAGCTACGGCAATGGCCTGAGGAAGACATATCATCAAAGAAAAGTAGAGTATCATGATCTATGCACGTCAGACTTAGGACCGTACTGGAACAAGATTAAATTCAATGAAGGGTACTCACGAGTTACAGGGATGATGTGCTCCAAGGCCAGTTCTAGTTCCCTTCAGCTTGCAGTGTGTTTGACTTCACAGAGCAAGCGTGGAAGGTTGCGTTCAGATGAGCGTTGAGAGAAGTGTTGGGTTGAGAGGAGGGTGTTGAGAGGAGTGTTGGATTGGCTTAGATTCAAGAACCAGACGACAATGACTGCGACAGTTCATTTTCATTTCCCTAGCTGAACTTCCGACCTTGCAACGCCGCTTGAGCTTGTTCAGCCAACGCTTGTTCCTTCAATGCATCCTATGAGGACGAAACCCGAGTCAGTAATCGTTAACAGTCTCCACGACGTGACACCAGATATTCATGTCAACACCCGGGCGAGCGAACGCGCACCCTCCCCCCCTATCTCACCCCCAACCCAACCCAAAAAATCAGCAAGAAAATAACTCACCTCCCCACCCGCATCCCCACCCTCCCCACCCTCCCCCTCCCTCCCCTCCCTCCCCCTCCTCTCCCTCAAAGCCTCCTCCCCCCTCCTCAACGTATCCCTATGAACCAACCCAATCATCACACTTCCCCAAACCGTCACTCCCACAAGTGAGTAAATAAGCGTTCGGTGTAGGATGTCCCCGATGGGTGTTTTGAATGGGTATCGGAGGCGTAGGCGGGGGCGGGGGCGGGATGACATTGGTCGCGATTTGGGGTTGGGGTGGTGGTGGTTGTTGGAGAGTTGCTTGGGATTCTGAACTTCTTGGAGAGTTGTGGATTGGTGTCGTTCGTGAGTTGTGCTGTGAATGGGTGGGGGTGATGTCGTTGAGTTGGTGCTGGTGATGGTACCAGTATCGTACGTCGGTTATCCAGTATTACGACTCCCCTGCGAGATGATATCACGTGCGCTCGGATATGTAGCTACTAGCTGCCTTGAGCAGCGCAAAAAGTCGTGCACAAGCAAGTTCAAGTGAGCAAGAAGGCAGGAAGGAATGACGACGTCGAATTGAGCGCCGGACCAACCCGGGCCGTGTCCAGAGTCTATTTAGACGCTTACCGCAACGGTCAACCTCCTCGAGTCCTTCCTAAATATACCTCTCTCTCTCTCAGGAGAGAGAGAGAGAGTATATATTTTGTCGCCGAGGCCAGCGGGAACTTCCATCTTACAAGTTCCCAAGATCTTACAACGCAACATGGATAGCTCTCTCAGCTCATGATCAGTCGATTAACAACAATCGATAACCACCAAAGCCCAAGTGCAGTCTAACGGTACGATGCAACGCATTCCAATGTATATATTACACAAAAAGAAAGAGGATGATGACCAGGATGAGGATGAGGAGGGGGAAGGTGGTCGTGACTAATATACAAACAAGTGCCGAGCGACGAGGGTCAAGGCGGTGACGACACGAGAGTGAGAGAGAAAAGCAAGCAACGTCTCATAACATGATCACGTCAAACCCCGAATCCCCCATCCCCAGACTCGAAACCCCTCTACCGCTGACAACACCCCAAAGAGAAGACCTCACAGAAGATCAACAAGGTCAGTGGCATTATTAAAGATCAACAAATTCGGAGTCTCCTCAGGCAGGGTATCCAACTTATCCCTCACCGCCAACTCCAAAAGCGCAGCCTTGAGCTGCTTAGTCGTCAGCGTCACATTCTCCCTAGGGGTAGACGCCACAACCTCCTCCACCAACCTCGGTGGCGGGAGGAAGGACGCGATCCAGCTTGGCAAGGAGGAGTGGGCGAGAGCGTATGCGTCTGAGAAGCAGGCGGAGGAGAGACCTTGGGTGAGCAGGGAGGAGGGGACGAGGTCGGGTGTGATCTTGGGGGAGAAGGTCTTGTCGGGGTAGATGGAGAGGAGGTAGGCGAGGAGACCGGCGGTGTGGGGAGAGGCCATGGAGGTACCGGACATGGTCGTCGTCGCGGTCGTGCTACCAATGTAGGTGGAGAGAATGTTCAAGCCTGTATGTGAACATCGTTAGCATGGAATACAACAAGAGGAACACTGGGAAGACGAACCAGGTGCAAAGACATCGACACATTTGCCATAGTTGGAAAAGTAGGCACGCTCGTCACCAAGAGTGGAAGCACCGACGGTGACAGCCTTCTCAGCAGCGGCAGGCGAGTAGTTGCAAGCGTCCCGGTTATCGTTACCTATCCAATCCAGACATGAGCGCTCAATCCTCCGGCGAGATTCTGACAGCTGTCAAACTTACCGGCCGCAACGGCAAAGTGAAGACCCTCATCGACGGCCTTGTTCACGGCGAGGTCGAGCGCGGTCGACTTGCCACCGCCGAGAGACATGTTGGCGACGGAGCCCTTGTGTTTGGTCTTACCGGTGGCAGCGAGCTCCTTGGCGGCGGCATCGAGCTTGGCCTTTGCGGCCTTGGAAGCAAAGTCGACACCGGCAACGACGTCGCTCATGGTACCGCTTCCGTTGCTACCGAGGACCTTGACGGCGATGACGTGAGCAGCCTTAGCGACACCGTATTTGGCCGAGGCGATGGTACCCGCGCAGTGAGTACCGTGACCGTTGCCGTCCTCGTCAACATCGTTCAGGGGGATAGTCTTGCCCCAGGACGCGCGGCCCTCGAACTCCTTGTGCCCGACGTTGATGCCGGTATCGATAACGTAGACATCAACGCCCTCGCCGCCTCTGGGCGAGTAGATGTACTTGGTGAAAGTCCCGAACGTCAGTCTGTCGCGGTGGCTGATACGTGCCAGACCCTGCAAAGCTCACGCGTCAGCCCTACGTGGCGCTTTGCACTCAAAAGAAACAACGTACCCAAGGCGCGCCCTTCTGAACCTTCGTCGTCCGGACGATCTGGTCCTTCTCGACAAAGTCAACTTCAGGCATCTGCCTAATACGCTCAATGGCGCGCTCGCTGAATCGCCCAGCGTAGCCCTTGATATGGCCATCATAGACATGTCGCAGACCAGCTGGCGACGCCTCATCTTCGACCAGCGGGTGCTCCATGTGAGCCAGCTCCAGGAAATTAAAATGGTTCGACATCAACTCGGGCGCAATATCATTCTTGAGCATGACAATGTACGAGTTGTTCACCGTCCCGTGTGGGTGCTCGTTCACATGGAGAGGAGCGATGGTGAAGCCCGATCGTGGGGCTCCAACGGCGGAGGAGTCATACGGATGTGTAGAGAGCGGACTGGCCTGCACCACTACGGCTGCGGGTGCGAGGACGACAGCGAGCAAGGAGAGATAGAGAGACGGCATCGTCGACAGCAACAGCGAGCAAAGACTGGGTTCGTCCGTGGAGGAGGAACCAAGCAGTGTGGGGAAGCTGGTGCCGGCGCGCGAGGAGCTTGATAACGGAACGCGTAGGCTTGTTTGGCCTTGTTGTGTCTCTCCCCCCGAACCTCCGGAGGCCCCGCCGGCTGACCGTCCACCGCATTTGACTCCGTCCGGCTAGCAGGCGCCGACGCCAGACATGGCTCCCTCTCGTCCACTGCGCAGCGCAGAACCAGAACCCCTGATGCAGGAGGACACGCGGTCAGTGGGATGCAATACTGACGAGGCGGTTGTATATGGCTTCGACCTTGGAGGTACCCTTTTTCTTCTTGCTCGAGGCGGGCAACCCCCAGATGCCACTACTTGTGACTTATCGCGTTTTCCCTTGCGTGGCGTCCTCGGCCGAGCAAGTCGCGTCTTATCGTGCGCACACGACGGAGTCAGAGTGAGACAGCTTTGAGGCTCGCGCGTCGTAACATCGCGACTCGTATCACGCCATTTGAGGATACCTTTTCGTGTATACTGGTCCTCGGTC